AAAGTAGGCTGTAGCACTGCTGTCCAGGCAAAAATTCACTCATAGCACACTGTATGTCACATTCCCATCTTCCTTAGCCCAGTCGATGCAGAAAAATAGGACGTTAAACCCTATTTTATTTCACATGTAGATAAACATGACTGCTTTACATATTAGAACTTTTCAGGCCAACGTTAAATTTACTGGTACTGTTTCACGACCAATGTAACGTTGTCATCTATTAACTCGTGGCAAAAATATAGCAGATTTTAATCTGGGAATTCGCCAATCAAATGGCTTATGGGGAGGTTTCTGATAAAATCTGTTCATTGGAGGAAGAAATGAAATTAATCAGAATTGATCAGGTAGTAAGTGCCTAGTAGAATTATCAATTATCTTGTAGCGTCAAGATTCCATTTATTTCATCTAAAACTCATTATTCTAGGCTTAATAACTTTATAACATACTCTCACAGATTTGACTGTTTGTATCAAATTCTTGTACATGTATTTCCCAATTGCTCTTCTCTTGTTTACATCCTGCTTTATTCTCAATAAAATTTATTATTTTGATATACATGAACTAGTATGTGAGTGTGGCAATTTATAAAAAAAACAATTTTTATCTGCTAAATTCTATAGAAATATCAATCTCAAAGATTACATACATGTATTTTAACATCTGTGATCCGAATTTCCAATCCTATACATGTACATTTAGATAACCATCCATTTGAAAATAATATAAACTACCTTGGAAAATATATCCAACACCCATTACATGTATCTCTTCCAAGATACATGTGTACATTAACGCAAGTTATTTTGACAATCTACAAATCTGATCAAACATAGTAATAAACTTTCAGGGATGAGCCCTGTCATAACCAATCAATATTGGTGTATCTACAATGTACATCTACATGTAATGAAAGGAAAACCACAAAATAGTTGAGATTTAACATTATGTTCCTTCAATAGGGAGACACGATGGGCCAGAGAGAAAGATGCTAGCTTACTAACTAGGAGGTTCAATGTTGGATCCACGTTTTGGTCGAAAAAGTTCATCAGGATCTTCCCCTCTCAATGACATACATTTAGGAAGGAGGGCAAGGAACAGTGTCTACTAGTGTGGATGGGACAAAAAATATGCCCCATGAACACGTTGACATGCATGTAAAAGAACCCTTCACAGCTGTAATTCAATGAAAAGTTGGTGGAAACGATGCTGTCTGGACAAAATTTCCCTCACAGCACACCGCATGGCTTATGACTATCTCCATTCATTAGCCCTATAGGTGCAGAATTCAATATACATGTAGAGTTTGCCACCAGTTGCTAATATTACTCAACGCAAGATAAATTATGATTTTACATAATGAAAGAGACACAGGACATACATGTACAGTATCAACATTTATATCTTAATAAATTGTAAATGCCTCTTAAATCTTATCAAATAAAATACTGATATGTTAAATGTTAAATAAAAACATTAAATCTTTTATTCCAACGGTTATATTTTAGCTGTAAAAGTGTTACTGTGGACATTGTTGCTTTGATGGAAAGCCCTATAAACTCTCTGGACCTAAATCAAGTGGTGGAATAATGGACCTGTTTATAACTGGCCAAAGTGATTGTTACTGGTGATTATTCACCTCAGTCACAATAGTCCTTCTCGTCAAGCCCCTAGGGCATTTGTAGACAGAGGTGTATTTATGTGTCTCACTTTGCATAAATTAGGGAATCCATGTTCCTTACAGGGTCAAGGTGACCTTTCATTAGAAAATTAAGTACAGGTACAGAGTACATATAAATGTTTTATTTCAAGATGATTACAAACTCGCTTTAACAAAGGAACATTGAACATTTCATTAAACTTTTCATCTTCTGTACATACCTACACAAGTTCTAACCAATAATATTCATCAATTAAAGCAGGGGTGGCCAACCTCCAGCACATTTGCCAAATGTGGCCCATTGGATGATTAGAAGTGGCACATTGCATTCCTGTGATAATAATGAAGTTTTAAGGCAGTAAGCCAACTCATTATTTTCAGTGATTTTATCTGTGGTCATTCTTTTTAGTGTGCACAATCACATCCTTTTTTCACATTAATCTACTATTTATGTCTATTAAACATGTAATTTTACAAGTAGACAAGGATCAAGAGGTGATGACACATCTGAATTTGTATGAAAAAATTGTTGCATTATATAAAAGATGTCCCCCCCCCCCCCCCCGATTTAAACTTAAAGATATAATGTGTTTGACTTCATAAGTATACAATGTACATATAATACATGTATATACACAAACCAAAAGTATACAATGTACATATAATACATGTATATACACAAACCAAAAGAAATGGGGTTTTAATCAAGGTTCAGCACCAAACTAGTTAATGAACATGGACATGCATATGCCGTACAGTGTAGTATCAGAGAATTTTCATAACCCTTACATGTACATGTATATAGGTTTTTTTTAGACATTCTGCCAATATCAACTCACAATCACACAAAAGAATTATAGGCCTTTTTTGATACGGATAAAATTAATCAACACTGTGTTTTTAATATTTCACCTCCTGTTACTTTAATATTTAGGTGAGGAAATGCAGGGCCTGAGGAATGATTTGGAAAGTTTATTTGGACCAAAGCTGGGATTCAAACCGGAGCATTTCTAGACTTTATTAAAGTACCTTGACCCAACAAAAACAGCAGTGCCTTTTTAATGTTAGTTACATCTAACATTTTTACTTTACAAGCTGTTGAATTTCATCTTGCATCTTGTCATACCAGCCAATATTATATATCACAAAGGATCCGAGTATATCCCTTCAATAGAGATGATTACAAACAGACATTAATTTGCTGATCACTTTCTATTATTCACCATATACTTGTATATAATCAGTATTCCATACACAGTGCATCATACTAACTTGAATTGTTTTGATAAGTAGATCATATTCTTTGCATTTGTTTTGATTCATGTACATGTTGAATTGTAAGTCCATCATATTTATAGTTCTAGCATTCGTTTTGATACATGTACATGCAGGTGCATCATACTCCTTCCTTTCATATCTGCAGCTTTCAAGTTTGGATTATCATGTTTGAAAAGTTCAATAAATCACAAAACCAATGTATCCTAAAGATCAGTTTGAGATTTTACCAGTGGTTTCGAAAGTCTGACAGAGGCAACACAAGAACTGGAATTTAATGATGCCACCAGGTGGTAAGTCATATTCTTGTTTCACCTCAGATTATTTTATAAATATTTTTACCTGCAACGTATTTGAATCCTTAGACTAAGAAAATGGATTTACATGTATTTATCACATTATTTTCTCAACAATACCTTGTAACAAAATAAATTCATGGACTGTGATGGGAGAGAAAGAAATGGAGTTTAACGTAACTAGGTCATTTGATACGTTTCAATTTTATTTCAATAGTTCGCTTGCACATAGACCAACGAGACTGGAATGCTACCCTACTCCTTGTCATCACAAGCAAAGAATCGAAACCAACGCCACTTGTCTAAATGACCGACCTTATGACGTAAAGCGCAGGTGTTAAATCATCCGGCCACCTAACCCCTGTGGACTGTAAGGGAGTTTTTTACATGTAGGTACTATCTAGCACGAATAGACCACTCGCCATGACATTTTCCACCGTCAAGATCCTAAATATGTAAACACCATTGCAAAATGCATTCAAACTACTTGAGGGAAAACTAGATTTGTTGCCAAAAAAAACCATATCTTCAAACAAAATTCATTTTAAAATCTACAAATTCAGTACACAACATATTAAGACAATGAATGGATGAGCGCTATTGTTAACTTTTGACATACATTTAGCAAACCTCCAAGCAGTAAGACATACACGTAGCAACAGCCATAACAGTGGTTGACACTCTTAATTCATTTCATTTTTTGTTGGCTTACAATTCAATCTGAGTTTATGATTGGACATTCCTGCTTGTTAGAAATATACTAAGTGTGCATGCAAGTTACAATGATCTGTTGGGGGGGGAGGGGGGAATTTACATTAAAAGTACCACGGTGTAAAATTATTATTTCTGCTGAAGATTGGAGTCTTTAATTTTTCAAAGAATAAAATATTTAGATAATACTATTACAATCAAACTAGGCCTACATGTAGATCATATATTGGGTATGTGTCATACATTATTGTGAGTTATTAAGTAAATCACTTGTTTTCTAAAGTAATTCTACTAATTGGCATATAATTAAATTAAATTAAAAACAACAATATAATCATCTCCTGATCCATAGGATGCCCTGACTGCGGCCCAACCAATATTCAGATTTATTAACTAGGCCTTACTAATAAATAACATGATAAAATAACAATTATTTTTTTTTAAAAAATAGAACTAAATTGTATTCCATTCTTTGACTTTGATTGCTTTCATTCGGGGTGATCTCAAAATCTATCTTAAATTATCTAAAAAAAAGAGCTTGGGCAATGAATGACACCTGACAGTGCTACAAAACTGACCGTTAGGAATTTCTGCCGTGGTGTAAAAAATATAGGCCATTGGGCCTCTTTACTGTGTCGAACCAATGCACGTGATTAACGGGTTATTCATAGCTTGCTGTGCATTTACCCGTGGATAAGACTGGCAACAGAAGAAAAGAAAATCAATACGGCTACAATATGAAATATAAAAAAAACCTTGGACTTTGGACAAAACATGTTGATATTTTTATAATTTCAAAATACTAGATATATGCTTACAAATTGAATTTTTTTATGTGAGCGCACCCCGTTATGGTCAGCGGGTAAATTATTAGGCTATAGCATTCATTCATCCAATATGGTAACATGAATGTCCGTCATGTCCATAACCATTGCCAGAAATGCGAATAATCTTGTTCGATCAAGCCACAACTGGAGCATGTGAAACGCACATTCCTCCCCATTTAACCTTGGAAATGACCAATGTCAGGCGTGAAAATAATGTAAATAAGTTACACATACCTTTATCCTTAAATTTATTTTAATTTTCAGCTCAAACTATGCTTCAAATTTCGCTGGAAACAACACGAGAGAATTCCCTCACACACTTTCTACTATGACGTGAAGTGTGAACAAACCACAATGTTTATCACTCTAATTCTACCTCCGCCACTTTCCTCGCACGAAATAGTCCTATTTTACACAAACAGAAATATTGTTCCTTTCGCGTAAATTATTTAGATATGAATCTAACCTAGACGAATAACTGCCTACCCAGTCAAGAACCGTAAGAAATGAGCATTTATTAGCGAAAACCTTGGAATAGGGGGTGTTATGTAATTTTTTTGACCCAACTAAGTCGTGCAGTTGTGTCAGGCTGACCTAGTTCTTCTGTTTACCGCACAGATTTGTAGTTTAGATTATCCAGTACGTACCATAACTGAAAGATACCTTTATATGGTCAAAAGACTGGATGTATACGCCTTCGGGGCGCTATGACTTATTTAGGTCAATAGTGTGGTTATTCGGTATAAGGGGCATAACTCCATTATTTGTACATTTAAAGTTGCAACAAAACAAATCGTTCACATAAATCTCCAAACGTTTGTCAAAAATATTTAAAATATGTAAAGACGGCTAACATTATGCAAATAAGCTGATCTTAGTACCCCCCCCCCCCCAAAAAAAAACCACATAAAGAATAGGCTGGCTTGTACAATCCAAAGGGAAACCAATCAATTTTAAATGGCAATAATATATTATCATTGATTGAACAATATATATTTGACCCAGAATGTAATTTTTATTTCTATTAAAAGGCATCAAAATACAGATGTGACGTCATCCTTTGATTTTGGCGTATCATTATTTCAAATAATGGTACAGGCAATGTACCAAGCGTACATTATTTATACTAGTTAAAATTTTAGTCTCACTATAAGCAAAATATTATATAAACCAGAAATTAAACCCCATCTCTTTTTATTTAGCAATCTTCCAAATACTGTTCTCTATTTGGAATTTCAACTGTCCATTGATGCATGACTAATTCTTACACTTAGAAAGATCCCATCCCATGATTAGGCAGTGCCATTGCACAGTCATTATCCCTCAGAGGTGAGAACACTGCCTTAAAATATCTTTAAAAGGTGATCCCCAGAAAAGAAAAACAATTCACAATATAAAAGTACTTTCATTTCAACTATGTTTTATATGCAACAAAATAGAGTCTATTTATTTTATCACTGAAATCGACATATGTTGATGCATAAAGAGTTTCTTCTCCTGATTTTTCTCATTGATAGAATGTACCTTAAAATATTACATAAAGTGATGATAGATGCATGTATGTAATCTCGTATCTGTCTCTCTTAAACATAGTTGATACCTTTCTTCACATTTGGTGTTCTGGACTTGATGCTTCCACGCAGGGCAATATCACAGACAGAAGTATTCTGGAAAACTTGTAAGAAGAGCCAGTTGTAGGTGAGATGCTCATTTAGCATAGGTATTCTTTCATCCTTTCTTCTATATAGACTAGGCATATCAAAGGTATGGCATTTTACTTCCCATCTTATTATAAACCAACCAAGTTATGCAACAATTTGCACTGGAATTTAATTCTCAAAAATAACTGCCAATATCAGAAGATTAAAGCAGCCTTATAAACTCCTGGCAGCCATAGGTTGATCCCTAAATCACTTTATTTTCATGATTTAGTGTGTTTTGCTGTTAGTTCATTGAGGAAAGTATTTAAATCATCCATCTCATGTTCCGGTTCATCTTCTTCTTCATCTTCTTCTTCTTCATATTGAAATGCTAAAATAACAAAATATATATTTCATATTAAAGGGGCAATAACACTCTTGCTGGCTTGAAAGCTCCGGAAAATAAATAATATCTATATCTAAGTACTAGATGTTTAAGTGTCCTACCTGTTGTGTAAATTATCCATTACATCCTATTTTACTTGTCCAGAGGGTTCGAAAATATTTTTAAATCGAAGTTTCATTTGAAAAGGTTTACGTTAGACGTTTCAAACCATTATGTTGAATTTTTCAAAATTTTTAAATAAGGTGTGTTAAGATGAAATTTGTATCATCAATTAATTGAAATATTCTAAAATAGTACAATTTGTTGACACTTGAAATGTGGAATAGCATCCAGTTGGAAATATTTTGTAAACCCATTTAAAGGGACAATAACACTCTTGCTGGCTTGAAAGCTCCAGAAAATAAATAATATCTATATCTAAGTACTAGATGTTTAAGTGTCCTACCTGTTGTGTAAATTATCCATTACATCCTATTTTACTTGTCCAGAGGGTTCGAAAATATTTTTAAATCGAAGTTTCATTTGAAAAGGTTTACGTTAGACATTTCAAACCATTATGTTGAATTTTTCAAAATTTTTAAATAAGGTGTGTTAAGATGAAATTTGTATCATCAATTAATTGAAATATTCTAAAATAGTACAATTTGTTGACCAGAATAAAGATTGGGACATATTATTCAGTTACAACAAGAGTGGTATTGAGCCTTTAAATCTTTTTGTTTATATAGTGATGCATGGTAAATTTAGAAAAGCTAACACAAATATTCGAATATGAAAAGTTCTTCTAAGACTATTCAAACTGACTTTTAAGTGTTAATTATTCGATATGTCAATGGATATATCAATTTAAACTAATGGAATAGACTCCATTTTATTGTCTCTAATGAAATATTTATTATTATATTAATATTTCTACGAAATCAAATACTTGAATAAACAATCATATAAAGGAAAGTATTTTGATTAGAAAGATTATTATTTTCTAGAAATTTGAAAAGCATCCTAAATGACCCAGGAATGATCATTTCAAATGAATCGAATATTCGAACAACAATTGAATAATGACTTATAATCAAGAAAATGATAGGCTGAAAGCTTAATAAGCTCAAAATAATACTAAATAATTGTTGTCAAGATTTACTGAATTTGTTTTGACCTGTCAGTCAATTTACACACTGTACATGATTGTACAAATGGAATATATTAAATTGAAGTAATCCTAACATGGTCACAATCCATTAATGGCATGTCGACCATCTTCACACTCTTTTTCTTACCTAAACTGAATGGATCCTGTACAGCTAAATCAAGGTCCTCTTTTTCATTCTTTACTACCTCAACTTGCTAAAACCAAATTAATAAAATCATAAAAAATTGTATTAGTTATAATGAGTTATAGTAAAAACAAACTTATTATTAGTACTTGCGAGACCTGTTGGAACAGAATCCTTTATTTAGGTTTTTTGTTTGTTTTTTGGGGGTTTTTTTTTTGGGGGGGGGGGGGCGTCAAAACTAATATAATTTAATTTTACGCTTAAAGAATTCGAAATGATAATGAAATTGGTATAACGTCTAATTGTTCTGTTCCAACTGGGCTAATGAAGACAGCTTAAAGTATTCAGGTAAGAGAAAATTTAAAAGATATGGCTTACTCACTATGGTAACTATTTCAATACGACACAAAAATAGGTTATTATGTGCACAGCCCTAAGAGTTGCTATTAATTACATGTACCTGAGTTTCATTTTCACTTGATCCTTCACTTTCTTTTTCTTCTGCTTCCCTTCGTAGCATGCTAACTAATGCCAATTCTTCTACCTGTAATTGTATACAAGACAAATGTTAAAATAATTCCTGGTACTCATTGATAAATACCCATTTAGTTGATGGTGGCACCTACTACCGTGAGTTATGTAACATGATCACTGTACTAGATAACAACAATTCCCTTCTCTCTACACACTTTTTAGGCACTCCAAAAAATCTGATGATTTTTCTCGACTAAAAAAATTGGTATTGATTTCCATTCTTAAGATCAAAGGAGACGTTAGATAGGACCTCAAAAAGATAAATAAACTACGTATCATGTATCACACGATCGAGCAAATAGAATAGAACTATATTCATGTCTACTTTCGTTTTCCTCGGTTGGTTTTTGGTCGAAACTGACACCAAAGCTTTACCTTTAATCTTGTCAGTTGATCACTAAATCTAGATGTTAGTGAAATTAAAGCCTTCTCCTCTTCTTGTAATCGTTTAATTTCAGCAAATGATGCCATGTTCCCCCTTATTGTTCAAAGAATTGCGGATAATCGAAGTTTATAAATTAATGCTTTTCACTCACATGCTACTCTATGTATCTCAAAACGTAAAGAGCGCTTATCGACAGTTGCCTCCCTTTAGTAGCACACCCAATTAAATTGTCAAATTCTGTCGGATTTCCCCAGTGACGAATTAAACCCCAGGGGGAGAGGGGGATAATGAGGGTTTTATATACAGAAGACGTGCCAAGCGTAGCGATGCGATTTTTTTGGTTGTTCTTTATCAGGCGCGGATCAGGCTCAGCTACATAAAAAATTTTGTAAAACAATCTTTTTTATGAGAAAAGTGTTCTAATTGTGCTTTATCCTTTATTATCAGATGGTGCGACAGGATGGGCACTCAAAGCGCGAGATAATGATATAGACATAAGATAAGATAAGATAAGATTTTATTGCATCGAAACATCCATTTAGGTCAGCATACAATATAAACATGTACATTTAATTATAACAATATGACAATTATAACACAAGACACACAGTATTGCATCGGAACCTCCCTTGAGGACAACATACAATATACGAAATATTAAGTACAGGTGCATCGGAACCTCCCTTGAGGACAACATACAATATACAAAATATGAAATACAGGTGCAAAAGATTGGACGGATACAAAAATATAGACGGACATAAATTCAGAGCACTCGATAAATAAAAAGGTATGAAACCTGCATATGAAACAAAACGTACAAAGTATTAAATCACATAACTCTACAGTATAAGACCCATATACAGGGTACATAACATATCATATGCGATATCACAATTAATGTTTTGCATCAATAAAATTGAATCACAATGTCATCGTATTAATTCATAATAAAAATTAACGTCAAACAGGACAACTGTCTAGTCGTTCGGATGGGACGAAAAACCGAGGTCCCGTGTACATATTGGCGTGCACGTAAAAGATCCCTTGGCAGTTGGAATTCGATATAAGAGTAGGCCGTAGCGCCGCTGCCCGGGCAAAATTTCCCTTCATAGCACACTGTATGGCGTATGCCCGTCTTCATTAGCCAAGTTTAGGAGCAGAACAGTAGGACGTTAAACCCCATTTCATTTCATTTCCGAACCAGATTTAGTGGAATTGTTCTTTGAACAATTCAGAAACTGCCAAAGACAAATACCAAATTGATGGCGAATTTACGGGTTAAAATATATAGACTCGTGTGGGAGGAATGTGGTGCATAATGAAAGGTGTAGAGTATTTTCCCCGTGGCCCGTGCTTTCATGGTAAAAGCTTAGAATTTGATATTGTGATGATAGAAAAATTTGGTTGACAAATTCTGATATTGCTATGTAATTTCAATGTATAAAATTCTGCTGACTCTGCAACTGCAAAATGCGGAACTCCTTGAACATAAACTGCCGACAGTCTCGCTGCAACATAATGGAATCTAGATAACAAACCTCCTCCCTCAACCCTCCGTAAAAACAAGCACGTCAGTATATCTCAAAGTTTTTAGCTACGTTCTCGTAGCTAAATGGAATCAAAAGACTGAAACTTTGTTAGAATTTTTTTTAACATCGCAACCTATAAGGAGGACATGATAGCTATTATATAGGTGTAGTTACTACAAGATGAATGTTGACGTTTTATAATTGATGAACACATTGACATAATGTTAACCTTCCAGTCAAAGTTTAATGGCTTCACTATACGATCAGTTGACACTTGAATCTGTAATTAATGTGAAATGTTGGCTTCATTAAAAGATAGACGTTTATCATGGATTCCTGAAAGAAATCTTACTAAACACGTCATTTCCGATCAAAGATGTTTACGTAGTAGCAGACTTATATTAATAACGATGGGTGTTATTTCAAAAAAAAATAATTAATGAATGGAATCAAATGATAATATGATGTTTAACGTCCTACTCTTCTGCACCGATTGTGCTAGTGAAGATGCGCATACAATGTGCTGTGGTGGAAATTTTGCGATACTACGACCCGCTCTTATTTCCAATTACAACTGTCAAGCGTTTTTTTTATACGTGTACGCCCATGTGTACACAGGATTTCGTTTTTTTTCCATCCCATCCAAACGACACTAGACACTGCCCTTGCCAGACCCTCCGCCCTGCATCGCTGACAAGAGCCAAACATGCCAACACCGGGGGCGAGCCAAATAGATCATGGTGATACCCCCCCCCTCCCCAAAAAAAAATAATAAAAGAAAGCAGAAAATAGCCACAATAACAAACCCAAAGAAGTCCTAACAAGCGATGTACCAACGGATCGGGAACAGTTACAAAGCGGGCCTGACAGAAATAATTTACATCCGGTGTGTATTAAATGATTAAATGAGACAGTTTTTTCATAACTTTCAGGTATGAGCAGTTTTTTCCTGTATGCTTCTTTATATCTTTATAAAATAGTAAACCCACCAATATTAATTAACCACTCATTCTAAACATCACATTGTACTTTTATTATTTTTTATGAGAATTTATTTTGATAGAAATCTATTATTGTAATGAAATCGATATAAACACTTTTATTTCGTGATAACCAATATTTGCTTGAATCATACCTGCAATGTTTGTTAAATACGCAATAAACGAAACTTTAATAACAAAAGAGGCATTTGAATAGAACACTAAGATAAGAAATGCTTAGAATAAACACGCGTATTTATCTTAAAGGAACGGTGTCTGTTTAAAGTGCTGGATAGGTCATCAAAAATAGGTTATAAAATGTACTATTTGATATGCATTTGAAAAACATTATACATGACATAAGATGAATGAGAACAACACAAGAAGTTTAGACCCCAATAGTACAATCATTTGGAGAGCTAGGTATTGTAGAAGTTATAGGGTCGGATGCTTTATTGCCGACGTAGATTTTGAGAGATCATAAATGTAAAACGACATAAAAACCTGTTCAAAAACGACATAATATTGCTAAATTTTATCAAAAGGATCTGATATCTCCCTTACAGAGAATTCTCCTTTAATAAAAATGTTTCATACGGCCCACGCAATCGATCAGTAAATACGTACTGGCAATACGTCATTTATACAATAAAAAACGTGTCGGAAGACATTTGCCGATATTCAATATATCGTGACGCATTGCCTGTTTTCAGGTTTGCATTCGAAATATTTCGTTTCAGAAAGGGTTGGACCTCAAGAGAGAGGTGGGAGATATGGGGTTTAACGTCCACTCGACACAAACGAGGTCATTTCGGGACTAACGTAAACTTTTAATAATTCGCTTGCGCGTAGGGGTCTTTAGCAGTGGGAGGAAACCAGAGGACCCGGAGAAAACCAACGAGGTTGGACAGGCGACCCTACTCCTTGTCACGTACAACCGGGGATTCGAAACCAGGTTGGACCTCAGAGTACGATTAGAGTACAATATACATGTAATTCAAATTGATGATGATGCCATGGTTACCCCCTTTTCCAGTAGCCGTTGGTTTCTGAATTCCAGGTCCAAACCATTGCTCGAATTACTTATAAAATAGTGGCGTATGTCATGCACAGGGCAATGCATGCTAAAACTGTTTATATAGCTAAATATAGCTCATGCGTTTGTATTATACTTAAAATGAACTGACACTTATGGCTAATGATGCTGGTGACGTGGACGGAACCCGGGGCTCTTGTGGTGTAGAAGGTGTCAGTGGTGTTTTGTCATGGAGATGGGAACAATGGTCCTTGTCATGTAGATGACGACGATGTTAGTTAACCTGATGGAAAATTGTGATAATCTAGGGACAGTTTATAATGATTAATTTAATGATAATAATAGTCGAGAAAATACCAAAACCAGGGTCCCTCTTCTTCCAAGTATCCAAAACAATATTACCAAAATACATTATTAGCAAACATTCAAACATTTCTCGCCGCATTCTTCCTGTGTGATGTTTCAATATTTTTTATCAAATTAGTACGTAACCATCCTTATAAACAGAAAATTTATCACCCGCTCTGTAGAATGAAAAACCGTCAAATGATAACCTAGGTCTGTTACATTTCCTTTATTTGCTATCAAGTGACCTTTTTGTGGGTGTAGTGTAAATGCCGATGGCGAATAGTAATGCACATGCACCGTCATTCCCATGGGTTCCTTTGTCCTTTATTTGCGTGTTGGTTTCAACAGGGGTGTGATATACATTCCGTGAGGTTTCGTTTGATAAATCATGTTGACATTTAATCGAGGAATTATGAGGAAAATGGAGTTGCGGTGATTTGGGAGTTCGAATTCGGAAATTGGGCCCTGCTCCCGATTAGGCCAATTAAAAAGTCACAGCCTATTTAACCGACATGAATAAATAGGCCAGGCTGTCATCGTTTTAATGAACTTTTATTCACTATTCTGAAACGATAGATAAACCAGCCAATCATGATTCAAAAGGTTAATGAATAAACTAACAATCACAAAAATGCTTTTATCTTCGAAATATTTTTGGTATTTACTTTCGTGAAATGAACAAAAATATCATAAATTGTATTTGGTTTGTACGCAATAAAATAAACACATTGACATTGTTTTGGCCTATAGTAGTCTACCACCTACTCGCAGGTACGTAACCTTTACTCACGCGCCTTGCAGGGAATGTCGTTTAATAGATGTATATATTCAACTCGGAGTTCCGAATGATGAATATTAAATGACACTAGATTTACTTTAATGAGCCGGAAATCATCGAACTTCTCACGCCGCTATCAATTGATCGTTTGGAATTATCGTAGCTTTGGTTTACCAGTTTCACAATTCCTTGAGTTCAGAGAAAATTCTGGATAATTGGGAATGAAGAATTTCTTTGCTATATATTTAAACTGAAGGTAGGTCTCTAATACAGTATTCTATTTCTTTAATAAACTCCAAAATGTGTTTTCTGAAGCAATTTCTTGTATTAACCATGACGATTGTTGGTACCAAGGCAGGACTGAATGATGTTACACCGGATAAAGGTAGGCCATTATCTAATGTTATAAGTTTACGCTTAGAAATTAAATTTCAAATTTAACGTTAAAATTTTCATACATTTTTTTTTAAAGGAAACATTTTAAGAGTGTTTTTCAA